GGTGCATGTGAAAACATTTTTTGGAATTGTCTTCGCTGGCCCCGCTGCTCTTCAAATGCCACGCCAACAGCCAAGTTTTCAACCAGTAATTTCCGCCTTTATAGACGCCGAGTTACCAGGACTAAGCCAACAATTTGATCGATTTTATGAAGCAGAAGCCGCCGCATCTACAATTTTATTTTGTGCCAATACAGAATTCTCCCCGCAGCCACGCCCTCTCGTAGAACCTACAATTAACGCCGCAACGCTTCCCATTCCGGAACATTTTGAAAGATTTTGGGCCCTTGAAGAATTTGCTCCAGAACCGCATTTAACGCCAGACGAAGTATATTGCGAAGAATTTTACAAGCAAACAACCACACAGCTAGACAATAAGCGTTATCAAGTTCGCTTACCATTCAGACCTAACCATCCGCCTCTTGGAGAATCACGCTCGCAAGCTGAAAAACGTTTTGTCGCCTTAGAGAAGAGATTGGATCGAGACGCCGTTTTTGCGGAACAATATAGGAAGTTTATGAAAGATTATGAAGACGCCGGTCACATGATTCCAGTGACAGCCCCATCGCCCACAGACAGCTTTCAAGGATATTACTGCCCTCATCATGGTGTACTCAAAGAATCCTCTTCTTCCACAAAATTACGAGTAGTATTCGACGCCTCTGCCAAAAGCAGCACTGGATTAAGTCTGAATGATATTTTGTTAAATGGACAAAAATTACAGAAAGACATACGACATGTGCTCCTCCATTTCCGACGCCATCCAATTGCAATTTCCGCCGACATACGCCAGATGTATTTGCAGATTGAGCTCCATCCTGATGATTGGTTTTATCAACTGATTTTGTGGAGAAAGGAAAAAAACGAACCTATACTCACTTACGCCCTCGCAACAGTCGCCTTTGGCATCAAATCCTCGACATTTCACGCCCTTAGGACCTTAAAGAAATTAGCCCAAGATTTTGGTCATCGTTTTCCAAAAGCATCCGCAATTATTCTAAACGCCACCTATATGGATGATATTCAATTTGGAGCAAGCACAGAAGAAGAAGCACAAGGATTAATTGAAGAATTAATCGGTCTCCTGGCTTGTGGTGGTTTTACGATGCACAAATGGTTCTCCAGCCACCCGCAAGTTTTGTCTACGCTACCAGCCGAGAAGTTGGAAACGCCAAAGCTAAAATTTTCGCAGGAAGACAATCCTTGGTTTTCCGTATTAGGCATTCAATGGGACGGGAAAGGGGACGAATTTTCGTATGAAGTCAATTTCCGCCCGCACACCGAGACAAAACGTGGAATTTTATCAATGATCGCCTCGATTTACGACCCGAATGGTTG